CCAATCATAAACAGGCTTGCATTAGGGCTCATAGAACAGCAAATATGCCACATCTAGCCCAACCAATGTTACACACCCTATTCAGAGAACTTAAGGACCAGCACCAAATAACCTATATAATCATTCTATGACCCCTTTAAACACAAGATCTCTCTCTTTAAAAAGTCAGGTAATGACTATATCTGGGATAATCATAATTATCTATCTTGTATTACAGAACCCTGCCTGCAAAAAAATGATTATGTTGGCATAAATGAGACAACCTCTAGCTATCTAAATGTTTATATGCTCAGAGTTTTTTTTTTAGTAGCAACAATATTACAGTCTGACTTATTTATTAGTCCAGTAAGTTAATTGTTACAATTCTTTTAAACGTTTAACCCTTTGTTTCCCTGCACCCAAATTGTAGAGCAACAAAACCTCTCCTTTTTTAACTTAGCATCATCCACCAGGTCCTTACACTTAACTTTAAGAACAGTTTTTAGAGTTCATATCTTATTAAATGTTAAATACTGATGGAGTGAATATAGTGGGAGATTTTAATATTCATGTCGACTTTGAAGGTGTTAGCTTAAACGCAGCCTTCAATGCTTTCTTAGATAAAATGTGCAAAGCCAGAGATATTATCTTCATACTTTAGGCATTGTGCTGACATATTACATTTACTGTGACAAAAATCACTATTTCCTCATAAAGCTGTCCTTTCAGACCCCCACAGCAATTAGTATTTAACACTAAATCATATAGAAAGTCTGAAATCTTTTTATTTAATCAACATAAATACAGTACCGTTTCCTGGGCTGCCACCTTTTTTTGCGGTAAAGGGATTTGAGTGTCCCAATGACCCTAGGAGCTATGCTGTCAGGAGCTTTATGCCCCCAGTAGGACCACTTAAGGCAGACAGGTTCTTGATGAGGGACCAGACAAAGAACAGTCCAAAGACCCTTATGATTAAAACAATAAATGGACATATTGTTCCCTCGCCCGAACGTGGGTCACAGGGACCCCACTCTGGAAACAGGCCTGGAGGTGGGGCGTGGTTGGGAGGAATGGCCCACCTGATCTAAACTCAAGTGGCGTTTAGCTATTGGACTTCTGTCCATCCTAGGCTGTAGATCAATGATAGACTTTCTCGTTGTTACATCTGACCTGTGGCCGCATGCCTTGGACACTCAGCTGAAGAGAGGGGCAGAGCTCTCCACTGACCACTACCTGGAGGTGAGTTGACTCTGATGGTGGGAGAGGACGCCGGTCAGACCCAGTAGACGGAGCTTTAACACGCCCCTCCAGGAGAGCTTTAAACACGTTTTGAGGGAGGTAGGTGAAACTGAGTCTGAGTGGACCATGTTCCGTGCCTCTATTGTTGAGACCGCTATTAGGAGCTGTGGCCACAAGGTTTTTTGTGCTTGTCACAGGAAGCAACCCTCGAACACGATGGTGGAAACCAGCAGTGAGAGAAGCTGTCAAGCTGAGGGAGTCCTACTAGACTCTATACGTCTGTGGGACATTGGAAGCAGCTGATGTGTACCTCCAGGTAGCTCGGCTGGTAACCAAGGCAAATACTCTAGCATGGGAAGAGTTTAGAGAGGCCATGGAGAAAGACACCATCCCCAATATAAACACTGTTTATATTGGGGATGGTGTGCTGCTGACCTTGACTCAGGAGGTTAAAAAGCTCCTTAGTGGGAAGTCCCCGGGATTGGATGAGATTCGCCCTGAACCTTAAGGCTCTTGATGTTGTGGAGCTGTGTTGGTTAATGCAAATCTGTATCATTGTGTGGAAATTGGTAGCAGTTCCCCTGGATTGGCAGGCTGAGGTTGTGGTCTCACTATTTAGGGGGACCGGAGGGTAATGTCCAACTACAGAAGCATCCCTGGTAGGTCTACTCTGGGGTTTTGGAAAGAAGGGTCCGTCGGATAACTAAATCTCAAATTCGAGAGGAGCAATGTTGTTTTTGTCCTGGCCCTGGAACACTGAATAAACTTTACATCCTCTGCAGGATCCTGGAGGTTGCCCACTAAGTCTACATGTTTTGTGGAGCTAGAGAAGCCATATGACCGTATCCCTCGGGGTTCCTCTGGGGGACACTCCAGCAGTATGGAGTACCGTATTTTATATATATATATATATATATATATATATATATATAAAAATCTTTCTGTACATGTCCTTGATAGCAAAGCTCTAACTTTCTTAGAACTAACAAATAGAAACTCATCTCTTTAAAACCATCTAAAAAACCTGAAATAATTCAACACACTATGACCACAAAGAAAAACTCAAGACACGTTCCTTAATCATCTTCTGAACATTTTAATACAATTAAACACTTTATATGAAAGATTTAGGTTTTTTGCAAATATTAAATCATGGATAATACCATCGATAATGTGGAAAAAGATCAACCGTAATTTATATGAAACTATATAAATTTTTATAATCATGAATCCATTTTTGTTTCTGCTCGGAACATAGTCTAGAAAGTAATTACATTAAAGGGAAACATCTGCCACATAAAATATGCAGTAAAAAAAAAAATAAATCAATTTGTATAAAGTAGATGATAGTTTCTGCTGTTAATGAAACGTTTTACCAAAAACTAGAACATAAAAAGAGCCTTTAGCATGTGAGTGTCTCATGTAATGAGATAAAGGAGTTTCTATATTAGGGATGGAACTGTTTTTGAAAACCGTCCAACTGTTCGGTTCTACTGTCTCAGTTCGGTTCGTGTGTGTTGCGTTCGGTTCATGCGCTGCTCCTTTTTCTCTTAGGCAAAGCGTTTACACTCCAGAGCAGAAGGTGGTGGTATTGCGACCAAAGCCAACCTACAGTAGTAAGCAAGAAGAAGAAGCGAAGCAACGTAGCGGGTGTAGCAGAAAAAAAAAATCAGTTGTTGTGGAGAATTGTGTGGGTATGGCGAGTGGGAAAGAACAGGAGTTGGAAGACACGCCAGCAACACTTTATAGGTCTGCTGTATGGGACCACTTTGTATTCCTTGGAGATCGTAGAGGGCATGCGCGAGATGATTAAATTCAAAACAAAACAAAATTCAAAACATGCGGAAATGATTCATGGTTTCCGCGGATCATTAAAAATAATTACAATTCGTTAATTTTTTTGGATTTTTTCACCAATTTCATTAATTTTTATTTTTTCATTCATTTTTATAATTTTTATTAAATTTTTTATTTTTCGGTGTAACAATAAACATATACCAAACTTACCGAAAACCGTGACTTCGAAAACGTGAACCGAACCGAACCGTGGATTTTGTGAACCTTTCCAGCCCTATTCTATGTGTACATTTCAAGTACCCTATTTTCACGACTATAAGGCGCACATAAACGTCTTTTTTTTCCCTCCAAATGTGCGGTGCGCCCTTTGGTGCAGTGCGCCCTATGTGTGTTGTAACTGCGACTTTTGAGACCACCTCATTGAGGAGATGATGAAGGAGTGGCTGAGGTAGGTGAATGTAAGGAGACCAGGTGGGGTTTTTTTCCACTCATCACCATCGCTGTTAATCTGTAACTCCATGCGTGCCCATCTCACAGCTGATGAGAAAAACATGGTGAAACAAATGAATGCTGTGCTCACTGTTATTCAACCGCTTGACATCGGTGTGAATCGGACGCAGCAGGTGCATCAGAAGCAGCGAGTTTACATGCAAAGTCAATGGTTGATGCGCGTATAGGTGCAGCAAAAGGTCTCACAGCGCGTTTTGAGCAGCAGGCGCAGCAGAAGCAGCGAGTTTACATGCAAAGTCAATGGTTGACGCGCGTATAGGCGC